GAAATCTAGTATTATTTTACCAAATTATACGAGGGAAAATTTTTGTAGAGTGATTTACTTCGGACATATTTATCAAAAGTACCTCAAAAATTAAACAATATTTAATTTTAGAAGCATTCTATCGTCATGCAAATTTGCCACCATTACCAAGTGATCACACTTACTATCGTAAAACAAATACAGAATATGAACAACATCGTTAGTTTTCTTAATTTTGCTCAGTTTTTTTCATTTTGGCACAAAAAATTTTGGTGTCAAAATAAAAAGTTCTCATTTTTAACGTAAAATTTTCATAATATATGAAATAGAAAAACAACACTTATACATTTGTATGAATAGCTGGAAATGGTTGGAAAAAAGGTTAACATTTTTACAGGTGATAAGTTATCTCTACCAGGTCGAGGACGAGCATTATCAGTAACGAGAACAATTGATGTATACGAAGAAAGTAGTTATTACCAACGTTCAACAAGTTTACCACGTCATGCTGATCATCCTTATGAAGTTAGAAAAACTACCGCAGTAATTCGAAAGCATACAGATAGTAAGCTTTTATTTTCATAAATAATTCACAAATACTATAAATTAAAAAATTATAAGCATTAACAACAAGGAAGTTAGAAGTATAATTTAAAATTGCTTTGAAAACTAAAACAATGTCAGCAGTAATAATCCTAAAAAATGAGGTACTACTTCACGCATGAAGTCTTCTGTTTTTTTGAATATTTAATAATCCTTAGATCTGTCTTTCTGCAACTGATTCTAAGTAGCTTACACTTTCTGATTAACAAATCTTTGGCTTCAGCTAGAAACAATTTTTAGATTTTTTTTTGTTTTGGCATAAAGATTACAAAGCAATTACTTTTAATCAAATTTTAGATACATGTTGCTTATTGCATATTCTGGCTATCAATTTGTTTGCTGTCTGATTTTCATTTTAGTTTATTTTTGTGCAAAGTTATTGTTTCAGGCTTGAATGAATCGTTCGAAAAAGAATCACAATGCTCCTCTTCAAAAGAAATTGATGAAATGGAAATGTTTCCATTAAAACGTTCACGTTACAATGAAAAAGAACGGAATGTGCAGAAATCACCTACGTTTACTAAAGAATTACCAAAGGAAATCATAATAAGAAATGATGAAGATCTAAGGCTTAATGTTGGAATAAAGTCATATCCACAAGCTGATATCAGATGGGATGTTAATGGGTTTGAATTGAAGGATTCTAAAAGAGTGACGGTAATTAATGAAGAAGATCAATCAACACTTATTGTAAAATCGCCTGTGCGTAGTGGACGTTACAGTGTTTTTGCATCCAATGAATACGGTAAGACGAATCAAGTTGTTCGTGTGATTCGAGAAGAAGAAGAACGGTACGTACAAACGGAACAAGATGAAATCGTTTACCAGCATGCTTACTCATCACCACCTGAGTTTGCAAGCAGCTCTGTATCAGTTCGAACTAGTAATCCGCTTTCTAATAAATACAAAATAATAGATGAGCAAAAACGGTCTAACACCTTAGTTAATTCAGTCGAAACTGTTAAATATGTAGAATCTCCTGGAGAAGTAATTCAATCTAAACAAGAGATATCTAGTGGCTTAAGCAGTACGACTATATATAAAGCAGTTCCACCGCAACCGTTACCAAAGCCAAAGACACCTGTAATCCATGAACCACAGCGAGACATAGTTTCAGAAACACCATACTCGTCTACCCTGTTTTCTCATGCAGGAAAATACATTGCAAAACATGTAGATGAAACAGGGACGGATAAAAATACTTGTATATTTTCTCTTCAACCAGACGCTTATAAACTGTCTTCTGTAGTATCGATTACGGAGCAAAAATATGATAAATCTGAGAATGCTGAAAATGAAACTTTGCTTCAAAGAGTACCACCTCCGAAACCGCCACCACCAATAAAAGTAATGGAAAATGATATGCTAATGAAAAGGACATTCCATAGCATCAAGCATCGTACTGCAGAATCACTACCAAAAGCTCCAATGCTTTTGAAAAAACTTGAATCAGAAATTCGTTTGAAAGCAGGAGAAAAACTTGTGCTAGAATTGAAAGTTGCTTCATCACCTGAATCTCAGTTTAAATGGTATCAAAATAACTTCGAGATAAAATCATCCCCCTTTGTTATTTTTGAAACTCCTGCGATAAATGAAAGTCGAGTCACATTCATAAAACCTACAAGTGGTACTTACAGAGTGGTTGCTGCTAATACTCACGGTTCTTGCTCCAGTTCAACTCGTGTTATTGCGGAAGTTATTGAAGAATGGACTTCAGAATCCAACGTATTCTTATTCAGAAGTGTACCTGAAAGGCACGAACCGAAATATCAACTTGTTAAACGACTTCATACTGAAGTTCGGAATGATCTGCCTAAAGCACCTAAAATTATTGAGGGCTTCGCTCCAATAATGCAAGTGCCCAAAAATGCACCCCTGATTTTACGAGTAGTTGCTGACGCACTGCCAAAAGCAGAGTTTCGATGGTTACTAAATAATTTTGAAGTACGAAATAGTAAAACAACAAGATTAGAGCATCCTGCACCAAATGTTTCACAGATTACATTTGAAACTCCAGTAAGTGGTCGTTACGAGGTAGTAGCTATAAATCATTTGGGTCAGGATTCTTGTTCAGGAAAAGTAATCATCAATTACGAGGAAGAGCTTCAAACTATATCTTTTCAGCGTCCAAGTAAACCAATAGTTCCTAGGGTTCCAGTGTTTCTGAAATCATTGCCAACCGAAATGCAGCTGAATCGTGGACAGCAAGAAATTAAATTAACAGTTTCTGCTCAAGGTGAGCAACCAATAACATTCCGCTGGTTTGCAGATGGAAGCCTTCTGTCCAACAGCGTGCAGCATCAAATTATAAATGAACAAGAAAGTAGCACATTACTTGTACGAAAAATGATAGAATTTGATGTAGTTTACGCAGTAGAAGTTTCTAACGTAAACGGAGCTGTCTGGTCAGAAACTACACTAAAACCATCATCCTCAGTGACATCTTATGATTCAAAACTAACAGAGTTGGAGGAAATTGCTTCACTGGAGTCGACAGATTTGCTGCAGCGTTCTCCGCGGTTTATTAACACATTGGTTGATATAAATTTGCAACAAAATAACTCTTATTCTATACGTGTAACTGTTGATACTGAATCCGCTCCATGTGAATTTGTATGGCTACTTAACGGACGTGATGTTCGTACTATCCCTGGATTTAGCATTGACTCATCCTATTATGAATCCACTCTTTATATAAAAGCAGCAATGCCGAAATATTCTGGGAAACTTTTGGTTTCAGCACGTAATAAATACGGTAGTGTCAAGTCATCATCTGTAATCATTGTTCAAGCAAGTGAGTCCTCTAAAGCCTTTTGATAAAGTTTTTTTCAGAAGATTTTGACTTTCAGATTAATAATACATATCTAATTTCGTATATCTGTACTTGAAGTATTACATTCATAACTAATGCCTTTTATAAAACCAGCCAATTTCTTTTAATCTGACTCTGTTGTATTTGAATAAGATTTTATTTAATTGTGCTAATTTGATTATTTTTGTGTTCGCAGTTCTTATGGTCGTAACCAAGAATCAGCATTATTAACACATTGTTTTTATTATTGATGGTTTCAAGATTTTTTTTTGCTTATGGAATGATAAAAAGTTTCACCTTATTGTATCTGAAAGAAACTAGCTTAGTCTAAAACCTTCTGGGTGTAAATTGACTCTTTTACAATACAATAAAACATAAGTTAGCATACAATCTGTAACTTAAGTACTATGTATATTTCGTTTACTTTGTAGCTCATGAAGAATTATATAACCTGTGCCCAGAAGAACAAAACATACCAATCGGGCGACCACCACAAATTATCATTCCTCTTCAACCTTTGGCGGTGCAAGCAGGTATTATATTTTTAGATTCTGTTATTTTTATCCAGGTTTTAATGACAATGATTACAAAGTTTTGATCTTATCATTTTATAAAGTCTAGTTTTGAATTATGAGTCATTGTAGAATTTTGCTGCCTTCAGTTGCAATTCAAAACTTCTAAGAAAATTACAATTTTTATTTTTCGTCCGTAGCAATTAGATTTTTTTTACTCTGAAATTGAATTAGTAAAAAAAGTGATATGAACTCTTTCAGTTTGAAGTTTTCTACAGTTGTCATCAATCTGTTGATAATAAATTCAGATCAACGAATGAGAATATGTTGTCGTATTGATGGTTTACCCCAACCAGAAGTTTTCTGGACAAAAGACGATATCCTTCTTGATGAATGGCAGATGAATAAAGGAATTATTGCCAGAACATTACCAGATGGTACCTGTGAATTAATTTATCAAAAATGTGGACCAGAAGATGCTGGTTTATATATGTTAACAGCTCGGAATATTTATGGTACCACGAGTACTTCCGCTTATGTACACGTTGCAGGTTAGAAATTTTACTTGTTTTAAATTATTAAATTTAATTGATTCTTCATGCAATGAAAATATTTTTGATTACTACACTTAAAGTAAAATGCAAATGAAATGATAACTTCCTGTAGCGATCAATTTTTGATTATTCAATTTTCACCAGTATTTTTTTCATTAATTTTTTTTAAACCTAAATGACTGTTATTTTGAGAAAAAACAGAACAAACAGCAACAGAAACGAAAGAAACAGTAACGGAAACGAAAGAAACAGTAACGGAAATGGTAAAAATTTTTCAGTTTTTGGTAAATTCTTCCAAAACGTTCAAAATGAAAGGCTACATTTTGAATTTTATTTTTCGAAAAATAAAAACAACAACAATCCAGGAATAAATCAACACAAAATTAGAGGCGAAGAGTGATTAACATTTTAGCAATATATTTTTAAATCCTAGCTAATTTGGCCAATATATCTTTGACCTTAAGTGATAAAATACTTCAGGGAAAAGAAATCGAAATTGAGTACTGTAAAGCGTTAAAGCCTCAGTTTGAAGAAGTATCCTGGAAACAAAATGAAGACAAAGTGATTCTAACCTGCAAACTAATCAGTAAAAAAGCAGTCCAAGTTTTCTGGTACAAAGATAACCAACGTTTGTACCAAAGTTACAAATATCGCATGGATAAAATTTCGGAAAATATGCATACTCTAACGATATGCAACTTTGATAAGTGGGATGAAGGTAGATAAAGTATTCATAATTATTGAAGGTAAACTGTCGAAAACAATAAATTCAGTGAAGTAAGAAAAAGAAAAGTTCAGAAAATATTATTATTTAATCGTTTATTTTTCCGCTACTGAATTTAAAGAAATCTCAGCATGATATGATAATTATGGCATTTTTTAATGATTCAGAAGTTTCATCTCAAACTGTGAACAAAGTAATCGTCTATGTAGTATAAGAATTGTTATTACTGTATTCTAGGTCCGTATACGTGTCGCATTCAAAATGAATATGGCAGCACGGAAACAAACATTGACATACGTTCCATAATAGAAAGTCAGAAAGTAGAGAAGGTGGTGGAAGAAACTATTAGTAAAGAAATCAGATTGAAGGATGAATATTATTATCAGAAAAAAGTAAAAATAATTAAATGATCTTGAAAATAGCAAACATTTTTAAACGTTGAATTTATTTTAGCTGTAAAATAACAAAATTCATAAGAATTTGACAACAAACTTTCAAAAATCATAATAAATGAGAAAAAATTTGCAGGAATACTCAGATACACCAATCGAACTCAAGAAAGAATCACAAATTGATGATATTGAAGAAACATTCAGCCATTCTGCAGAACTTCGAAAGACCGAAGGTTTGTTTCATTTTCATTTGTAATTCACAAACTTCGATTATTATTGAGAGGGAAAAAATTATTGGAGTTTTAGAGCAATACAAGCTATTAGTGAAAGTCGCAGAAATTTTGGCTAGCAAGCTGGTTGCTAATGTAGTCATAGATGAAGCTATAAATACAGCTCTGAAGCGAATGAATCGAGGAGTGCATTCAAGTGAAGAAGAAGAGTTTGAATCAGCCATCGAATTTCATCCATTTCCACCAAGGTGCTACTTTTGATTTCAGTTTCTACAGAGTTTAAAAATTGCCTCCTTGTTTACATAGGATTCATCAGCTTACACATCAGCTAAAATGTGAAAATGACAGTTAATAATAATTGCAAGAAAAAATTTGCAGGAATACTCAGATATTTTTGCAGATTTGAAACTAACATTGAACGTTATACAGTTGATGTC